TTACAGTGAGGCATAGCTGTAGTAAAATATCTTAAAAGGTAGCAGTTTGCTAAACAGCTCTGATTACGCATATTACATTTTGAAGGTGTAAGCATGTAAAGTATATGACCAGCTATACAGACACATACTAGGCTATTGTTTGCTTGGAATCCAATTGACCCACCGACATGCTATTGAAGTGTGGGAGAGTATCAGAATACCCACAACAGTGGGCCCAAAATCACATACCAGGTTGTAAGTGGACTTTTTGTCTTTAACTGGATCTTGTGGTACTGTTCCCACCACTGACCCCACTGATGGAGCACTTTTGCTCTCACTGACACCAACGTAAGGTACATATTCTTCTCCAATGATGGACTGCTATTTTTCTTGCTGTTACCATTGTTGGGTCTCTTTTTCTCTCCCTGTGACACCAATGATGTGCACAATTCCTCCCACTGACATGAATGATGGGCAAAATTCCCTGCCCACACCCCCCCCCCCCATCCTATCCATCATCACCAACAACACCACTATCATTCCCGCCCCGCCAGCCAAAGTCCTTGGCGTCATTCTTGACTCGAACCTCTCCTTCCAACCTCATGTCAAATCACTTACAAACACATGCAGGCGCCACCTCCGCAACATTGCCAAGATACGCTCCTTCCTTACCCCAGACACCACTAAACTACTCGTACACTCCCTGATTATCTCACGCCTTGACTACTGCAACTCCCTCCTCACCGGCCTACTCCACTGCAAGCTCTCCCCGCTTCAGACCATTCTGAACTCAGCGGCTAGACTCATCCACCTCACCAACCGCTTCACCTCTGCCACCCCCTCTGCCTCTCCCTCCACTGGCTCCCGATTGCCCAACGCATCAAATTTAAACGTCTAACCCTGACCTACAAAGCCGTTCACAACACTGCCCCTGACTACCTCACCAACCTGATCCCCAAGTACCGCCCTACCCGTACCCTTCGCTCCTCACAGGACCTCCTTCTATCCTGCTCCCTGGTCTCCTCCTCCCATGCATGACTGCAAGACTTCTCCAGGTCCTCCCCCATCCTCTGGAACTCACGGCCCCAATCCATCAGACTGTCGCCTTCCCTCCTCACATTCAGGTGCTCCCTCAAAACCCATCTCTTCAGGGAAGCCTACCCACCCTCACCTAATTGCCATTCTCCCTCATTCCTCCCACCACTTCATTCCCCTCAGCCACTTCCTACTGTACCACTACCCCCTCCCTCCTAGATTGTAAGCTCGAAAGAGTAGGGCCCTCTTACCCCTCGTACGTTGTTTGTTATTGTTGTACTGTGCCATGTATTGTCCCCCCCCTATATTGTACAGCACTGAGCAAACCCTTTGGCGCTATATAAACTCGATGTAATAATAATAATAATAATAATTCCTCCCACTTACAATGATAGGTACAATTCTACCTATTGATGCCAACGATGGAGCATTGCTTCTTTCACTAACACCAATTATAGGTACAGCCTACATGACAGTAGCAACTCTACTCTAAATTAAGAGGCAGTGCAGCATTGTTTCCAATACCATCATAGGAAACTGCGTTAGGTGGACTTCACTGGCAAGCTGAACAGATGATTGTGGGGGACAGACGAAAACATTTTATGTGAAAATGGCTTAATGTAGCTTAAATGTGTAACAAACTGCCTAAATCTCAATCAATTGACTTGAAACTTTGCACAGCCCAAGATCACCACATCCCAAACATGTCCTAGAAGTTTCATAGATTTTGCCTGCCACAAAGAAAATGGAGGACATTAAGCTTGTTTTTAGGGGAGCCTAATGTGGCTTAATGTACAAAAAAGAGCTTAGATGTTAACCAATTTCCTCCAAACTTCAAACAATAGAAGACTCTATCTATGGCAACATATTTGGAAAACTTCGTATCATTTGGTAAATCACACCAAAAGTTATTCACATTAAGCTGTATTTTACAATGCTAAAACATTTCATGTAAACAGCTTAATGTACCATAATGTGCCTATGTCTCAATCAATTGACTTGAAACTTTGCACAGCCCAAGTTCTCAACATTCCAAGCATATCCTAGAAGTTTCATAGATTTTGGCCTGGAGGTAGACTATACTAAGATTGAGCACATAGCAATTCTCATGAATATATACAGTGGATATAAAAAAAGTCGACATACCACTGTTAAAAAAATCAGGTTTCTGTGAAATAAGAAAATGAGACAAAGAAAAATAATTTCAGAAAAAATTCCACCTTTAATGTAACCTATAAACTGTACAACTCAGTTGAAAAACATACTGAAATCTTTTCGGTGGAGAGAAGTAAAAATAAAAAACTAAAATAATATGGTTGCATAAGTGTGCACACTCTCAAACTAATACTTTGTTGAAGCACCTTTTCATGTCATTCCAGCACTCAGTCTTTTTGGTTATGAGTCTATCAGCATGGCACATCTTGACTTATTTGCCCACTCTTCTTTGCAAAAACTCTTCAAACATGTCAGATTTCAAAGGCATCTCCTGTGCACAGCCCTCTTCAGATCACCCCACAGATTTTCAATCAGATTCAGGTCTGGGCTCTGGCTAGGCCACTAAAACTTTAATCTTCTTCTGGTGAAGCCATTCCTTTGTTGATTTGGATGTTTGCTTTGGGTCGTTGTCATGCTGAAAGATGAAGTTCCTCTTCATGTTCAGCTTTCTAGCAGAAGCCTGAAGGTTTTGTGCCAATATTGACTGGTATTTGGAACTTGGAAGTATGCACTTCCCAAGCATGCACCACAAGCCAAGAAACCCCCAGTTTTGGCTGGTGAGCCACAAACACACACTCATAATATCCCCCCATTGGCTGTCCCACGCTATGGCCACTACACAAGGTGGTAGGGGCTACACAAGCTTAATGTTACTCACTTGCTTTGTGGGAGATCAAAACCCATGAAACTTCTAGGACATGTTTGGGAAGTTGAGAACTTTGGCTGTGCAACGTTTCCAATCAATTGATTGAGATCTGGGCACATTATGGTACGTTAAGCTCTTTTTACATTAAGCTGTTTTTATTAAATGTTTTAGCATTGTAAAATATAGCTTAAAGTGGTTGTAAAGGCAGAAGGTTTTTTATCTTAATGCATTCTATGCATTAAGATAAAAAGCCTTCTGTGTGCAGCAGCCCCCCTGAGCCCCCCTAACATTTACCTTAGCTCCCTCTCTCTCCAGCGATCACTATGACTTTCTCAGCCTTCCGAGATCCTCCTTGCTGAGTGGCTGAGACAAAGCAGTGGTGTCATGGGCTCCCACTGCTGTCAATTAAAGTCAGCTAGCCAATCGGAGGAGAGAGGGGGTGGGGCTTAGTCAGGGCTCTGTGTCTGAATGGACACACGGAGCTGTGACACAGCTCGGGTGCCCCCATAGCAAGCTGCTTGCTATGGGGGCACTGAAAAGGACAGAGGGGCCAGGAGCACAGAAGATGGACCCGAGAAGAGGAGGATCCAGGCTGCTTTGTGCAAATCCAACTGCAACAGAGGAGGTAAGTATCACGTTTGTTATTTTTATGCAAAAAAAAAAATGAGCCTTTAGTATCACTTTAACGTGAATAACGTTTGGTGTGCCCTACCAAATGATCTGAAATGTTCAGAATATGTTGTCATAAATAGAGAGTTCTATTGTGTGAAGTTTGGGGGAAATTGGTTAACATTTAAGCTCTTTTTTTATACATTAAACCACATTAAACTCCCCAAAAAACAAGCTTAATGTCCCTCATTTTCTTTGTGGCAGTCCAAAATCTATGAAACTTCTAGGACATGTTTGGGATGCTGAGAACTTGGGCTGTGCAAAGTTTCAGATCAATTGATTGAGATTTAGGCAGTTTATTACACATTAAGGTACATTAAGCTATTTTCACATTAAATGTTTTAGTCTGTCCCTGATTGTGAGACTTTGTGGGAGAACTAATAGACAACTCTCTGTCAGATGCACTTATTTTTTAATGGGAGGCTTTAGTTCTGCTTTAAAACTGAACTCGAGTTACAAAAGATTATTTTAAAAATATTCTTCAATAGCCACAAATGATATTAATCCAGTTTGTGTACACCAATGCAGGGGCGGACTGACCATTTGAGCACTCAGGCACCGCCCGAGGGCCCGGGGTCAGTAGGGGGCCCCATGAGATGCCCCTGGTACCTTTCATTGGCTTTTTCATAGACTTTTTTGGGTGTGGGCGAGGACACAGGGGCCCCATGATCCCCTATTGCCTGGGAGCCCCATGAGTTGTCAGTCCGCCCCTGCACCAATGCTTTTACATACCCCGATGTTGCCATGTAAAAGTAGCAGTGACATCACCCCTGTGCTATACATTCTCTTTGCAAGAGCAAAGCTGTGGGAGAGACCTAGCAGGCCCCATCTACTACAAGCTGCTTTCAGAAAACTACAGGAGGGGGCGGATACAAGACCAGTCATCCTGCACAAGAGAGAGAGAGCAGCAGTGAGCAGGCTCCTGCACAAAGGTAACGTTTCACACTAGATTACTGCACAGATCTTGAAGAAATATACAAAACATACCAATATTTAAGCAAAAGCATGGTGCTTTTTAGACAATACTTGATTATCCCAGAATTAACCATTTGCCCTCCAGAGGATTTACCCCCTTCCTGACCAGGCCATTTTTTGCAATACGGCGCTGTGTTACTTTAACTGACAATTGCGCAGTCATGCAATGCTGTACCCAAATGAAATTATGTCCTGTTTTTCCCACAAATAGAGCTTTCTTTTGGTGTTTTTTTTTATTTTTTCGGGCTAAAAAAACGACATATTTGAGAGAAAAAAAAACAATATTTTTGACTTTTTGCTATTAAATGTTCACTTAAAAAAATGTAATTTAGGCCAAAATGTATTCTGCTAGATGTCCTTGCTAAAAAAAATCCCAATACGTGTAAATGAATTAGTTTATGTGAAAGTTATAACATTTACAAATGGCGGTATAGATACTGGAAATTTTTTTCTTCTATTTTTTTTACTAGAAATGGTGGTGATCAGGGGTGGACTGACCATTTGGAAACTCGGGCACCGCCCGAGGGCCCGGGGTCAGTAGGGGGCCCCATGAGATACCCCTGGTCCATTTTTCATAGGTTCGTTTGAGTTTGGGCAAGGACACAGGGGCCCCATGATCCCTTACTGCCCGGGGGCCCCATGAGTTGTCAGTCCACCCCTGGTGGTGATCAGCGACTTATAGAGGGACTTGCACAGGCATTCTGACACTGGGGGGAACTGACTAAGTGCTGCTGACATCTCCAGTGACACCAATACAGTGATCACTGCTAATAAAAAGCACTGACACTGTACTAATGACACTGGGCAGGAAGGGATCAACATGTGGGGAGATCAAAGGGTTAACTGTGTGCTGTTTCACTATCAGGGCTGGGTGTGCTTTACACTGTACGCACACTGCTTTGTATGGCTCTGCAATGCAGAGCCATACAAAGCAGTGTGCAGGGGCTGACAGCAGAGAGATCTGTATTGTATTACATACAGGTCTGTATTGTATTACATACAGGTCTCTCCCCCATCGGAAATAATCGGAGATTGCCGGGTGCTGGCGGGGAATCACCGACCGGGACCTGGTGACTGACAGCCAAGGCCGCGAATGGCAGCGTGGGTAGGGCACAGGCGCCGCCTACCCGGAACTGCAAAATCACGTATATATACATGATTCTGTGCACCCGTGCTGCCTTGTAGCAGTATTTCTACCATAGGGCGGCTCGGAAGTGGTTAAGCACCAATTAAATATGATCTTATAATCTTGTGTTTACTATGAGGCATATTGGTAACTTTAGTATAACAGCATAAAAGATGGCGGTTTGCTAAACAGCTCTGGTTACGCATATCAGATCTTGGAGGTGCTAGTGTGCCACTGTATTTGTTATTATACAAAAACATGTTTCAAGCAGGGGCGGACTGACCATTTGGGAACTCGGGCACTGCCCGAGGGCCCGGGGTCAGTAGGGGGCCATATGGGATGCCCCTGGTACCTTTCATATGCTTTTTTGGGTGTGGTTTGAGTGTGGACAAGGACACAGTGGCCCCATGATCTCCTATCGCCCAGGGGCCCCATGAGTTGTCAGTCCGCCCCTGGTTTCAAGGCTTTTCTGGGTATTGAATGCTAAGCAAATGTGTACCAAACAATGGAGAAACTGAAAAGAAGCAGGCAGTGGATTGTCTGCTGTGGTCTTTAAAAAAAGGCAAAGAGCTAACACAGCACAGTGCAGTAATGCAGAGCAGCCAATCAGAATTCGCCTTTCATTCACTGTTCTGACTTTAGTAAACTATTATCAGATTGATTGATGTGAGATAATGCATTTTGTGCACTATGATTGTATGATGTTGCATTATCGAAGAAGCCGGTTTGTGCTCTGTAACAGATGGTAATCTAGGATAGAGAAGAGCAAATAAGTTTGAAAACAGGCGAGTCAGCAGATTGGTGAATTAATTTTGTTTCACTTTCCTGAACATATGCATGTAGAATTATTCAGCTGAATCAGCGATTTTTCTAATTCGACCAACTATTCCAAAATCAAACATTTTTGACAGAGATAAATGGCTAGAGGTGGGCAAATCATTCCACACAAATTCAGATCTTTCATGATCATACTAATTTGTCATATAGGAATATAAAGCAAGGAGGAATTAGTAGGGTGTGTGACCACAATGGTACTTACTGTCCCTTCCCAAGCATCTTCTCATTAAATCCTCCAATCACTGACTCTCTAAGTACTTTTATTATGGATAAGTCAGCAACAGGTAGCTCAGTACTCACATAGCTCTCAATGTCCCTGATTTCGAGGGAATGTCCCTGATTTGGAACAAAGTCCCTCTGTCCCTCTTTCCTTCTTATTTGTCCCTCTTTGTGGTCTGATCTATATAGTTGTATATAAAATGCACTAATAAATATAATGATGCAGCGCTACCCTAATTATAATCATACAATACAATATATAATAGAAAAAAGGTGCAGAGTGAATAAATGTCACAAATGACTATTAATCAGTGAATTGATCCTCTCTGGGATCTATGGTGAGTAATTAAACGTGATCTTACCTGGTATCAAGACCAGGAACCAGTGACACCAAACCGTCCAAATGGGACCATAAATATGAAAAAATAATAACGTGAATCCCTGAATGGGATCAATATTCTCGTGCAAATCGTGACAAAAAATGGCTAAATTAAGCCATATATATGCAACAGAGTGACAGAGTGGATCCCTATAATTGGGATCAAATATGCACAGTAGTGACAAGTGCCAAGATAACATATCAAATACATAGAAAAATAAATAAAAAATGTGCTAAATAATACAATCACATCAACGTAAAATAATCACATAAAGTAGTCCACAAAACCAAGAAAAACAAGTACAAAAAAGGTGTGTGAACACCTGAAATATTCCAAACGCTTCTATGTGCAAGTGATATTGTGGATGTGCAGAACCACCGATGGAAATAATCCGTATGTGGCCAAATTGCCCCCTCACCTCCTTGAAGCGATCCTATAAGGGCCAAGTCGCTTTCTTATACTCCCAATCCCTTCTCTAATTTTCCTTTAACACTACCCCTGTCTTCAGTTCTGTATTCCCCACCTGTGCCCCCAATTCTCATGTACATCTCACTCTTGTATCCAGTTCTGCACCACCACTCCTCTCACCAGCTCTCCTGCACCACCACCCCTGTCACCAGCTCTCCTGCACCACCACCCCTGTCACCAGCTCTCCTGTACCACCACCCCTGCCACCAGCTCTCCTGCACCAAGACCACTGTTACCAGTTCTCCTGTACCACCACCCCTGTCACCAGCTCTCCTGCACCACCACCCCTGTCACCAGCTCTCCTGCACCACCACCCCTGCCACCAGCTCTCCTGCACCACCACCCCTGTCACCAGCTCTCCTGCACCACCACCCCTGTCACCAGCTCTCCTGCACCACCACCCATGCCACCAGCTCTCCTGCACCACCACCACTGTCACCAGCTCTCCTGTACCACCACTCCTGTCATCAGCTCTCCTGCACCACCACCCCTGCCACCAGCTCTCCTGCACCACCACCTCTGTCACCAGCTCTCCTGTACCACCACCCCTGTCACCAGCTCTCCTGTACCACCACCCCTGGCACCAGCTCTCCTGCACCACCACCTCTGTCAGTGGCTCTCCTGCACCACCACCCTGCCTCTAATTCTCCTATTCCCTTTGCTTCTTTCTCCAGTTCTCCTGCACCCTCACCCCATCTCTGGTTCTCTTTCACCTCTCACCCATGTCTCCACGTTTATGTAACTTTCACCTGTGTCACCAGTTCTCTAATACATTTTTTGCAAGCCTGTCCAGTTTGAGGGAGGTGACTATTCAACTCACTCAGGACAGAGATCTTACGTCAGGAATTTCAGGCCAGTTGTGCACAGAATGGAGGCAAAACTACATGTGTCTGCACAGCCCTGATTGGTGCTGTGTCGGTCACATGACTAGAAAAAACCTGTTTCAGAAGAGCAATTCAAATAAAAATACGTGAAAAAATAACTGTTTTACAACTCCCTCTAAATCTTTATTGAACATCAAATATGTATTTTTGTGCATTAATATGGTGTACTGTAGGTGGAGCCAAAGATGATTGACACTAGCTTTAGTTTGTTTAGACAGCATCTGCATCCAGGGCTCTTTTTTACTTTACAGGTTTTAACAATTACATTTGATATATTTAATACTAATTTGTTTAAAAAACTAAACGTTTTATGATTTTCTTAGTGAATGTAATATATCGGTATACTATATCCCAACCCCATAGCGTTTAGCAATAGGAATTGAGGAGGATGGGGGGTGTAATTTATCACTGTGTATATGCTCACATATGTGAATCTATAGTCATGTGGGCTGCACAGATAAGAAAAAGTAGGAAATGAAGATCTTAGACAGGAACTGAAACTGGAGCATGGTCAGTAGATGACAATAGCTGGTCTACACAATCTCAGGCTACAGTGGGGACACAGAGAAGATGGGAGGGGCAGCTGAAAACAGAATTAAGCAGATATATTTCACTGCACACAAAACTAATGCTTTAGTAGCCTTGTGAGTATGCTCGCTCTGTTATATAGAATGTAATGAGTTTTTTCATTGTCTGGGTTTAATGATACTTGAATCATCATCATAAACAATGATAAATGTTTGAAGGCATATGGGACTGATTTAAGCCTTTACCCCACATGGCACTCACAATCCAATTCCCACCCATATTCAACAAGTCACCCAGTCCAGTGTTCTGTTTTTCTTCTTGTTGCAGCCATCTATAGAGGCACTCTACTCTCATATTGGAGTTCATTTACAAACACTATAGCAAAGAACACAACACTGGCAAACCATGAACACTTGCTTACATCAACTCATGAAGGTTCTTCAAGTGAAACAAAGGCTTCGAAGGGACAATGGAGCTATAATGATGAAGCACATGAGATTGTAATGTCAATAGATTATTGTTTGAGAGTTTTCAGAGCTGCACATGTAGTGAAAATGTGTTTTTTTTATTAATTTCAATAACTAGACATTTTTCATGACTATTTGTGGTACAGACACTCCATCAAAAATACAACAGAGTGGAATGTTGCTAACATGTACAACAAGCGTTATATGAATCTGTTAGGTTGGATCAGATCACATCACATATATGTCTGTATGAGGCTCTCAACTTACAGTTCATGGTGGAGTCACAAGAAATAGTGGGAAAGTGACAGCTTTATAGATACATGAATATTGTCATTTTGATGATCCTCAGGCAATAAGATAAATGCACAGACGAAATACATGAAATGGGGCAATTTTACCTGCCAAAGGATTGGTAATTTTATCCATCCAGTTTTAAGATTTACACAGCTCTGCTACATAGCATAGCTCTATCTGGTAAGACAGGGGAGCTATTTTTTCTTATTGCTTTTAAGAAACAGATTGTGTCCCTTTACAACTTCTGACTGGACAGTGAAAGGTGAATCAACAGACTTATGAGCTCCTCTCTCTGTCCTTCTGCTCTCTCCTCCTATCAGCATGCCCATTGTTAGCACATAAGCACTTCAGCACAGCTTTCTCTCTCTCCCAGTCTTAGCTCTGCTGTACATGTGACCGCAAAAGGCTGATACCAAGTCATATGCAATTACTTAGGCTAATGTACACTGCAGCTGATAAACTCACGTTTAGGAGCTTTTCTGCATTTTTTTTCAGCAGCCCCTGAACTCTCCCTAATGTTTTCCTATGTGTCCATGTACACTATGTCATTTACAGTTGTTTACAGACAGTTGAGTTTACAGTCGTTTTCTTTAACGCACCAAACTTGCATTCAGGAGTTGATTTTATCAGCGTTTCAAACACTTGTAAATGTGTGTAAACGCCGCTAACCGCGTTTATAAGCGTTTGCAATTTTTTTTTAACTCTTCCATTTCCAGATGCTGTCCAGAGCCTTTTTTCATCATGAAAAATGCATGCAAAGCGTTTGCCCGGTACTCATATGGACCTGGTACACCATATTTTGAGGCTTTGCATGAAATAAAATATGTTAGACACGGCCGCAATAATTTCTGCACAGAAATGAGCTGGAACACATCCAAACACCACAAAAAAAAAAAGACAGGTAATCTCAACAAATACTGCTCCCTCTGCTTCTGCTGTATTTCTCTCAAAATGTCTGAAATGGTTAATTATTTACTGTTTTTCAGTCATTTTGGAAGGTCTCCTGAGGTTATCTTTAAAAAACGCTTCTGAACACAAACGCTCATAAATGTGGTATGCAAACGCGGCTAAACAGACATTTTTAAAACTACAATTTCCAGCAGTCAGTTTCAATCATTCAGAAGTGTTTTCCAAACGCCCCGTGTACATGGAGCCTTACACTGCTTGCATTTACAAAAAATACTTTTTACAACGCATTAATAGATACAGAGCTGCGTCAATGTATGTCTTTTATATCCGCCTGGAGCCCAAGCTTTCATATTACACATTTGTATTCGGGGCCAGACTTACAATTAGGCACAGATGATGAGGCACCTTTTTCTTGCATATGTATCGGTCACACATTTCTTTCTCATTATCTGAAATAATAGAGTCATCTCAAACAGGCTTATTTAAACGTTGTCACAATATTCTAAGCAGAGTTAGGATCAGGAAAACAAGAAATTGTTCTCTATCATAGAGGTTATTCTAGGGTAGCGTGCCTACAGGGTCCAGTGATGGAAATCTGGCCCTTCACTTTTTTCTGACATATTCAAATTCACAAAAAGGCTCGCCATCACATGTATACACTGAGAACATTATGACCACCCACCAGGGGCGGACTGACAACTCATGGGGCCCCCGGGCAATAGGGGATCATGGGGCCCCTGTGTCCTTGCCCAAACTCAAAAAAGCCTATGAAAAAGATACCAGGGGCATCTCATGGGGCCCCCTACTGACCCCGGGCCCTCGGGTAGTGCCCGAGTTTCCAAATGGTCAGTCCACCCCTGCCACCCACCTAATATAGAGTAGGTGCCCCTTTTACCACCAAAGCAGCCCGGACCCATCAAGGCATTGACACCACTAGACCTCTGAAGGTATGCTGTAGTATCTGGCACCAAGTCATCAGTAGCAGATCCTTTAAAGTGTCATTAAAGCCACATCACTAGATACTGTCAGTCCATGCTGTATTACATGCTGTTCATACCCACTCTGTCACTATGGGATTTGTTTTCTGTCTTCTGCACAAAACCCAGTTGATCCTCCTGCTTACTGTCACTCCCTCCTTGTCTGTGTCCCAGCTACAGTCTGAGTTTGTGTAGACCAGCCATTGCCTGATCTACTGAGCATGCTCCAGTTTCAGTTTCCTTCTAAGATTTTCATTTCCTCCTTTTTCTTATCTGTGCAGCCCACATGACTAAACAGTCACACCCATGGGCGTATACACTAAATATAATTGGTGGCCCACTCCCTCCCTCCTCTTCCATACCCATTAAACAGCTAAACACTAGGTTGGCGAATAATACAATGATTGATGGAGGCTTCACCTTCCTATAATTTTAAACTCATACAAATAATAGACACAGGCTGGAGGGAGAGGAAACAGGCTGTGATTGGCAGAACAACCTCCCCTCTCCCCAGATAGCCCACATCATGTTTCTGTACAAAATACATATTTGAATGAGGATTTAATACATATATTTGATATGAATTAAATGATCAGCAGCAGAGAACTAGAAGCTCCTCGCACAAATGGTTCACTGCAGATGGGCTAGGAAAGAGCTGAGTCACGTGACAGCTGTATATTAACTATAAAAGAGGTACATAGATGGTTCCTTTATTAAAATAAATACAGTTACATCATCCATATACATAAAGAGGGATAATGTAATTGACACAGTGTGTGCTTAGTATCACTTTTAGGCCTCATGTACGCTGGTCCTACTAAACGTGAGTTAAGGAGCTTTTGGTGTTTTTTTTGCCAAAGCCCCTGAGCTCAACTCAAAAACCTTTTAAAAAAAAGTCTTTAGCAGAGTTTAGGAGCAGCACAGTTTAGGGGCAGTTAAACGTTCCTCTCCTGAACGTGATTCTTCTGCGTTCAGGAGAGGAACGTTTTGGCCAAAAAATGCAAAGAACGCAGGTAACCATGTGTAAATGAGTGTAAACGCTAGCTGCGTTTAGCACTTGGGCGTTATTCATGTCAATTGAAAATAATGTAGCCAATCAAATGAATAAATGTCCAAGTGGTAAATGTGGCTAAACGCAGGTAAACGCGCTACCGCATTTACACGCGTTTTTGCCGCGTTTAACGTTTTTCAACTGCCAGGAGAACTAAACGTCTAGGGAAGTTCATGTGTACATAAGGCCTAATGCCCCGTACACACGATAAGAAAATCATGCAAAAAGGTTTGCGGAACCACTGATCGAATTATTTTCTCTTCGTTGATGAGCAGAATGTTTTAACCGATAACGATATTGTGAACAAAAAAATCCAGTTGAATAACAGTGAAACATTTTGCTGTTTTGCATACGAGCGAACGATTTTTCTGTGCGATGGTATGACGGTTGTACGAAAAAAATCTATCAAGCGCTATCACGCATGAGCGAAAACAGAAGATGACCCGGATGTTTATGTCCAAGGAATCTTCGTAAACACGAACGAAAAAATCCAAATGTTAAAAGTAGATTGGCCTAATGAGATCATGACACCAGAATTTTGCAGATTTATATTTTATGTATCACTATTTATGTATATAGGTCATGTAATAAATGATATTATACTCATTGCTGGTAATTGTTGTGTATATCGCTCGTTCTGGCCGGAAGGGTGTGGCTACAAGGTCACATGAACACCGCATCACTTCCACTTGTACGGAAGACGTCAACACTGCGTATTGCCCAACGAACAATTCTTTTTAGATTAGTTAATGTGAGCCACGATTTCGACCAACGAAGGAACGTCTCTCGGTCGCCGGATGACCGATCGTTCGATTTGCTAATCGTGTATTCCCACCTTAAGTGTGAGATGGGACCTCCATGGATCAGACTTGTTTTCCAGGACATCTCCCAGGTGTGCAATTGGTCTGAGATCTGAAGAATTTGTAGGCCAAATCAACATCTCAAAGACACTTTTTTCCATTACTCAGTGGTCCAGTTCTGATGCTTATGTACACAGTGTAGGTACTTTTGGCTGTGGACACGGATCAGCATGGATACCCTGACATGTGTACAGTTACACAGCCCCATACTGCGATGCACTGTGTGGTCTGACACCTTTTCATCATAACCAGCATTAACTTTTTCAGTAATTTGAGCTATTTGTATATTTTCTATTGGATTAGAATAAATGTGCCAGCCTTAGCTCCCCATAAGCGCCAGTGAGCCTGCCCATTTTCCTCTCACTGGTTTGCTGGTTTTCCTTCCTTGGGCCACTCTTGGTAGAGCCTGACCCATGCAGAACGGGAACATCTCCCAAGAGCAAGGGCGGACTGTCAACTCATGGGGTCCCTGGGCAATAGGGGATCATGGGGCCCCTGTGTTCTTGCCCAAACTCAAAAAAGCCTATGAAAAAAGTACCAGGGGCATCTCATGGGGCCCCCTACTGACCCCGGGCCCTCGGCAGTGCCCGAGTTCCAAATGGTCAGTCAGCCCCTGCCCTAGTCGTCTAGCTATTACAATTTATCCCTTATTAAAGTCGCTGATATCCTTATGCTTGCCCATTTTTTCTTCTTTCAACACATCAACCTCAGGGACAACATGTTTACTTGCTGCCTAATATATCCCACCCACTTTCAGGTGCCATTGTCAGGAGATAATTAAATGTATTCACTTTACCTGTCAGAGGTTAGAATGTTTTGGCTGATCAGTGTATATTTTTATTTTATTTATTTCAGGTACTTATATAGCACCGTCAATTTACGCAGCGCTTTACATATATATTGTACATTCATATCAGTCCCTAAAGGTGGGAATACACGATTAGAAAATCAACCAATCGGTCATCCGACGACCGAGAGGCTTTCGTTCGTTGGTCAAAATCTTGGCCCACATTAACCAATCTAAAAAAAATCATTCATCGGGCAATACATAGTGTTGACGTCTTCCGTACAAGTGGAAGTGATGATGCGGTGTGCGTGTGACCTTGTAGCCACGCCCTTCCGGCCAGAACGAGCGATATACACAACAATTACCAGCAATGAGTATAATATCGTTTATTACATGACCTATATACATAAATAGTGATACATAAAATATAATCTGCACAATTCTGGTTTCATCATCTCATTAGTCCAATCTGCTTTTAACACTTGATTTTTTCGTTCATGTTTACGAAGATTCCTTGGACATAAACATCCGGGTCATCTTCTACTTGATAAATTTTTTTTTTTCGTACGACCGTCATACTGCCGCATAGAAAATCAATTGTTCGTATGCGAAATGACAAAATTTTTCACTGTTGTTCAACCAGATTTTTTTGTTCACAATATCGTTATCGGTTAAAACATCCTGCTCATCAATGAAGAGAAAATTGTTTGATCAGTGGTCACGCAAAATTTTTAGTATGATTTTCTTATCGTGTGTACGAGGCATAACCCTCAAGGGGTGTACAACCTAAAGTCCCTAACTCACATTCATACATACACATATTAGGGCCAATTTAGACAGGAGCCAATTCTCCCAGCATGTCTTTGGAGTGTGGGAGGAAACCGGAGTACCCGGAGGAAACCGACACAGGCACAGGGAGAACATGCAAACTCTAGGCAGGTGGTGCCATGGTATATTTATATTCTTATACATACACACAATACACAAATACATCTGCAGCAGTGACAGCGGTCAAGGGCCCCAGTTGGATGCCTTGGGGCTGCCAGAAGAACAACTTCCCATAGAAGAATAACTGTCAGCTGTTATTGGAAACCTCTATTATCCTACAATAGCTAATAACATTTCTATATGTGTAGTGATACTTGATTATCATTATATTTTACATTATGTAACTCTGGTATTTTCAGTGGAAGTCTTTAACGTTTCCTTCTCAGGTTTTCAAGGAATAATACATTTTGAATAGCACCAAACCATGCAGAAAACACGCCACTTCAATATGAGCATATCTCCCAGCACCTAATTTCCACCCTTCGTTATACATATGATTTTATTTTCTGTCTCTTTGATGAATTCTATTTTCCGCAAATATGTTCAGTGAAAAAAATATGGCAATTAAATGGCAGCCTGCAAACAAGATACTCTTTTTCCAAAAATGCATCATTACCACAAGCATTTACAAGAAATGCTAAATGGAGTGTCCTATTAGCCTTCCTCTTCTCTAGGCTGAGATAATCTTGAAAGGTAAACACGGGAAGTATGTTTCTTAAATTTGGAAAACCTGAATTTAGAGATGAATCCCATCGAGGGGCAAATCTTGTTGTTAAAATCTGACTATTTATTGGCTAATAGGTAAATTGCTTTTATAAAATGGCAGAGGAAGGTGGACTCTGCAATAGGGAACATGTATCAATGCAAAATACATGTTATAAATACAGCAGAAAGAGGGTCTTTCCATGTAGTTTCGAGGGCAACATTAAAATTACACAAATCTTGGGGGAATGTGCTTGGGGGATGCTTTGAAACTGTATATGTTATGGAATAGTATGGGTTTCAAGGACAATCTTATAGTCACCGACAACATATACTTGGCTGTGGATCTTTTTTTTCTTTTACAATTAGATTGGCTAACATAAAGTAGCATTTATAGGTAAAGTTGATCCAGGGAATATCCGATTGCCGCTCGGGGGATCAGGAAGGAATTTTTTCCCTGCAAGAGCAAATTGGATCATGCTTTGCTGGGTTTTTTGCCTTCCTCTGGATCAACTGTGGGGACAGGATTATAACTTTTTTTTAATGGTTTTTAAATGGTTTTTCAGCCAGACTAACTATGTAAGTATATATGTAGCATTACCCCAATCTGATTCATTTCAGTTTGAAAAAAAGGCTTCTTCAGGTAGTTTTAGCATCGACACATGGGGGGTTGATTTACTAAAGGCAAATAGACTGTGCACTTTGCAAAGTGCAGTTGCACG